AGCCAAAAAGTCTTTTTGATCTTGWTTTGAGACTGWTTTACTAAACAAGAACTGRTTGTGTAAGAATAWTAATCTTGTTTTCAGAATGTGTCAGATTATTTGTCTTGTTAGTCTGAACATTTGACTCAAATTAAGTCAAAAATTTCTGCCAATAGAATAAGAAATTTTTACTTGTTTAGATTGGTAAGAAGAAAAAATTGAGTCAAATCAAGTATTTCAAGAATCTTAACAAGTAAAATTTTCTTACTCCATTGGCAGAAATTTTTGACCTAATTTGAGTCAAATTTTCAGACTAACAAGATAGATAATCTTACACATTCTGTAAACAAGATGATTATTCTTACACAATCAGTTCTTGTTTAGTAAATTAGTCTCAAAACAAGATCAAAAAGACTGGCTGGATATAAGATTTTAAAACTTGGTTAGGTGGACATATTTTGCAGTGTTGGTAGCGATGTTACAGATTCAGTAGCTGTTGTTTTGTGTTGTTGTCACAATCTTTGGTCTGTCATAATGTTTTTACCTACAAAAATTTCCCAAGCTTCCATGAGCTTGGAAAGCAGCGGAGAGGGGGGTGACCGCAATTATTTTATGAAGCCGCCTACGTAAATTTCGTAAGCTTGGATAAGCTTCGTACTGTAAGCGGGAGGTGGGGTCTGGCTTAAAGTGTTGACGCCCTCCTCCAGAATCCTACATAAAAGCCTGCTTTAAACCCCAATGTTAAAAATGTTTTTAATAGTGATTCACGCAAATCTCTTTTTTAAATTTCCCATTACACAGTTATTGTAATAGAATTCTATGAATAGTTTTAAAGGACAAATAGTTGCAGTGCCTCAGCCTAGGGGAAGCATGACATTTCTAAGATATCTGCCAAAATAACTACGAAAAACTGCAAGAASTTTAGTCTGGTTTGAATGTTTACAACTTTAGTTTACATGGATGACTATAAAGCCGTAGAGACTGGAGATGTTTTAAGATGTAGCAATTCTCGTGGGTCATGACCCCACTTCCACTACCCGCTTCTTCTGCTTCTCCAAGTTTAAGGTTGTTAAAGGAACTATTTACAACTAGTAAACTTCTAGTCACCTTTGCACAGAATCCCACTACAAAAGATCTGAACTGTCTCTTTAATGTTCWAATGATGCTCCTTCTGTTGAATTTCTTGTCAATTAAAATGATACCTAATTAGAAGTCCTTTTCGTCAGTATCTTTGAGCTGGAACTTGACAGACTCATGCTAACAAAGGCCTTTGTGCTAAAAAATCTCAACCAGTCACTGCGAGATCCAAGCTTTACCCCTCACCTGTCTGCTCTTTGTGACCTGCGGACTTGTAAAATGGCCACGCATTCCTGTCTTTCAATAATGGCCCCTCTTCCTCTTTCCTTCTTTGGCCTCCCCACCCCCCAATCGTTTTAAGAAGTCTGCTTGTTTGAACAAAGAAATATTTTAAGACGCTTGCAACTCTGGCTGCTGTGTTTGTGTGTTGGATGCGGCCATGGGGACGAATGCTTCAGTGGCCTCCCCTGTTATTAGGCCTGCCCTGTCATTACAGGATTAGTCTGTAGGGGTTAGTCTTGCATGCATGTGTGTGTATGTTTGTGTGTATGTGCGTGTAAGCATTTGTTTGCTTGTGTATGAGCTCCTCGAGCCTGTTTGTATTAYTACAATTTTTTCTCACACAGTCAAAGCCTGCAGAGAAAACAAATGCCTCTGCTAGTTTTCCCCCCATGGTTGTTAGAATAATCCCAGGTGCATTTGACCTCTGTCAYAAATAACACTTTACTAAAGCAATCGTCAGGTTGCTCAAGCAGTAAGTTGCTAATTGAATAGTCTAGGTAAGCTGTGGGTGGTTGAAAAACAGTCCGTCATACACTGCATGTCACATCAATCAATATGCTGCTGGAAAACACAGGGGAGGCTTTAGGGATCGGCAAGCAATGTAAGAAGGAAATGAAAGAGCGAGGAGACAAATGACAAAAGGCCAAAGCTGCAAAACGAGCACGTGCGTGGAAGAAAATGAGAACGATGGATGAAGAAAGCCATCATTTCACACGAATGATGAAAAAGCGATTGGAAATAAACGAGGAAAGAAGGAGAGCATCCGGACGATGGATTAAACAGCGTCTCCGTGACACCTCCCACATCTGCATGTTTCACTCTCAGCTTCTGTGTAGTTTACGGCRGGGAATTTGCATGTTCATTTGCTTGATTTACTTTCTTTGCTCAATCTCTGTCTCCAATCTAAAGTCACTCCTCCCATTTTTTACGCTTTGAGGATTACAGTGACATGAAACATGCAGAAATAAAAGGCCAATGAGAAACACTTTTTTTTCACTGAACCAGGGAGGGGTCTTATAGTTTCAAAGTGCTTGTTTCTCCCCTAACTTGTCCTTCTGGTTTTCTCTCCATCAGTTTTTCCTCTGTTTGTCTTGTCCCATTAGGCAACCTTCCAACGTGTTCTCAGAGGCTTTTTAAAAGCTGTTTGCTTTAGAAGGCACCATTCCCTCTTTAATCTTTCGTAGTTTGACTCCTTCTCGCGCTTCATCATCCGTACTGCACAAGTCTGTCAGTTCGGTACCGAGAACAGCTCCTTTGTTCACAAGTTTTGTTCTGTGTCTTTTCCCTGCCCTTCAGTTTGTTGTGTGATACACAAGTGAATGTTGCGATATTCTTGTATTAGCCTGTTATTTTTAWACGCTCGAAATGCACGACGCACAAAAACAAACGAAGAGCTCAGAAATCCACAAGCACACAGACACAGTTTGAGAGAAAGCAGCCAGGTTAGGAGGAGGTCACTCAGACCTTTTGCTCCGGCCTGTTGACTCAGGATTGATGTTCGACTTTGGGCACAATACAGGGCTTCACTCCCAATAGACACACATACTCACATAATTACCCTCTGACATAGACAAACACACAGGCGCATGCACAGTCTAGTCCATTTTGGTTAAACAATGCAGGCGAATTGAAAAAAGGAGGGTTGCAAATGCACCTGCACTCCAGAATGATCCACTGCCCGGACCACTGAGTCATGTTGCTGTGTGTTTGTGCTTTGTAGATCTTTTTTTTTCTCTSCAACACAGTTCTGGTTCTTTCAGCCTCATCTGTGTCTCCCACTCATCCCCATCCTGTCATTGTGTTTCACTGTGTTGTCATTTTTTTTCTGCAAGGTCAGCTCTAATGACAAGTCAGCGTTCCTTACATACGGCCCAGTTGTAATGATAAAGAGCAGGCAGTGGAGGTATATCATTTTCACCCAGCTGGCTTACATACCCGCGTAGCTGTCAGTAACAAGTCCCACATCACACACTGTCACAGTGTGAGTCAGGGGATGCTCTGCAGGCAGGRTGTGCTGACAAAGTTTCAGGGATAAAGACACTCATAGGCTGCAAAGAGACAAAACCAGCTACATCGAGTTGCATTCAAGATGTTGAGTAAAAGCCGATTGGATTAAGGATCAGTTGTGCATAATTTAGCACTAGTAGGAACTTTTGATCCATTCAGATCCTTTCTTCGAAAAAAAAAGATCTCAGTGCCTGAACTGGTTAATAAGAAAACTTTCAGTCCCTTTTCCTTTCAGGGAACAAGTCAAATCAAGAAAGAGCATCGGAAAATGTCTGCCTTAACTTGGGATGTTCTTGGACATGATATACTACTGTATATGTACATATTTTACCAGTGTAAAATACATGTCAGAGGAACTGTCGCTCCAAGTATGCAGGGGTAAAATTTAGTGGGAATTCCCTCCAGGAGAAACATGCCATTTTCAGAGTTAGCCATAATTCACAAGAGGCTTGGTTGTCAGGATGTGTCAGWGCTGGTGCTCTTGAACTCAACACTGGTAACAGCAGAAATCTGGACATATGATGATATATATACTTTTTGGTGATCATGCTAGTTTATTTTGTATCCAAGTTCTATGTCTCTTTAGAAAAAACATCAAAAGACAGACAGAACAGAAACTCTGATAGKATCACAGCAAAGAGGGCAGAGTGACTTATTTAAGTTTACCAGTTGATATTTTGACAGTAAAATAGACGTCGCTCTTTCCTCATTGAACAGAAATGTTCCAAGCTCACTTTCCGGCCGTTTTGTTTCATCATTTTTTTATTATCATGTAGAACAGCTCAGCGGTTGAGATAATAACTGTGGCAGCCTGGAGCACCAGGTAGTAAAAAGCCAACATTTATAGTCTTACTTCCCTTCTCTAACGACGCTGACATTTTTGCCAGCAGAAAGGAGACAGTGGAAAGTCGGCAGGAGGGGGAAAAAAAGGGGATTTGCTGGAGAGGCTACTGTCCACCATTTTTTTTTGTCACTTTTAGTGTGTGTCAAGGAATAGGTGTAAACAGCTTAATTTAAAGTGTGTACACGCTCGACTATTCTCCCAAAGTGAAACCAATCAAAGCTTTCTGACCCCAGTTTCCTTCTTAAGCTTCTTTTTTGTGACACCTGACTTTATTACACCCACTCCTTTCAAGCCTTCTGTTGGGTTATATATCTTTTTGAGTTTTACAACATGCCACTCACTGTATGTGTGTTTGTGTTACTGAGTGTCATTGCCCTGTGGGAAGCGAAGCAGCGTCTCTGTGAGATTTGCAATTGTTGTTTTCCCTTTGTTCAAAAGAAGCATCCAATTGATCCTAATTAGCCAAATAAGGAAACACATTTTACACAGCACTTCGCCAATCACAAGCTTCCATTTCAATCTCACTTTTCACTGTGATCTTTTTTTTTCTTTTTTTTTTTCAAACACCCCGCACATACAGTACCTCTTTGTCTAACTGAATTTAATATCGCTCAAAGCCTGTCTAAGATGTTCGGTTATTCATACTGTTATCTGAGAATAGCTTCGGTCAAAGGCTTTTATCCGTTCCGTGGATCATTTTACAAGTTTTATGACATTGTTGTAAAACCCTTGAAAGTTCKGTTGACCTCCTCTGTCACCTTGTTCCTCTTTTTGCCTGACCGGGATGTTTTCTTTCTGCTTCCGTTTACAGAGACGTTGATGGACACAAAGTGGGCCACTACAGAATTAGCGTGGACTGCACACCCTGAGACTGGGGTGAGTATACACACGTGCCAATTTATATTTATGATAAGGTGATTCACAAAAAACAAACATAATATTATGCAAAAGAATAAAGACTTCTCTGTTCAACTGCGCGTTTTATAATYGTCATAAATTCACATTTGAGCAGTAAGTGTTTACGTTTGGACAAAYTGTACGCCTTTATTTAAATATCCCWCAGAGGGATTTTGTAARATTCACAATGTTGTGCTTTTTAGCTTGCAGGAAAAGATCCACTGCCATCCGATTTCAGTTCTCCGCCCAGTAACAGATGTTTCTTTCTCTCTGCATCAGTGCACAGAAAACATGTGAAAAGTCAAGCTTGCTATAAATTAACTTTGAAAACACTGAAATATCTCTAAGCTTTGACAATCCCTTGCAACCAAATCTACCTCTCACAAAGTACCGGGGACACCCGCAATTTGGTTTCCCATGTGGGGCTCCACAATGGGCTAAAGAGAAGCAAAAAGAGTCTTGACCCCTCCTCAGCGATACTTCAAAAGGTGCCAGCACTCCTCCCCTTGTTTTTGTGTGGTCCTCAGACTAGGGGCTTGGGTTTTGAAAGGTGGGCCCCCTATTTTTTGAAATTTTGTTGTTACCCTGGCCTACTTCCTTTGCCGTTCGAAGTCACCCAACCTCCATATTTGGCCTTTTCTAATGACTGTCGAAGCYAGACACATTAACTATCTCAGCTGTAAACAATCAGAGGCCAAACTCCCTTGCAGCTCTTCATGACCTCTTTCTGCCCCCCCCACTCCAACTCCCCATACTTCCATCTTCCCACCTCCTTACTCTTGTTAAGCTACAATACAACMAATATGCTCCCACCAGGCAGGCACAGCATAGATGCTAAAGCAATAAAATGCCYCTATTAATCTTTTTAAACATAACTCGCAAGAAATACCTATTTTCAAAGGATGCATGTGTAATGATGTTTTTTTTTCAATCCGCAAATAACCAACAGAGAGGTTTTTTTTCACGAAGCAAAATATGAAACAGACAGTATTGGACAGACAATATATCTTTTTATCTTTTGTACTTACTTCCTCTGTTTCTCCTACACATAAACTCACACAAAAATAAAAAAAAGAAGAAAAGAAAAATCTATCAACATTCTTATTTTTTTCCTGGCTCTGTGCACACTATAGACGATTGTTTGTGTGCTTTTGCCAAGTGATAAACTGGCTGAGAAGACAAACAAAAACTACAGATTGAGCTTGAAGGGAAAAAGGGCTGCAACACTGAAAATAAGTAATATCAAACTGTCCATACAGCAAAATAAATAAATAAA